TTTTATATAAAACTTTATTCAAACCAATTTGGTGTTATGGCATACAATTGTGGGGCAGTGCTCATAAGACTAACATAGGAATTATACAGAAATTTCAAAGCAAATTTTTGAAAATTGCCTAAGGAGCTCCAAAATATGTTCCCAACTGGTTGATTCATGCCAACACGAATACACCTACCATAAATGAAGTAATAACAAAAACAGCACAGAAGTATAGAAACAAGCTAATCAATCACCCAAATACATTAGCAAACTCATTGATAACAGAAAACTATCGAAGAAGATTGAAAAGCAAAATACCACTGGATTTAAGCCATCAACTCTCCTGATAAAAAAATGGAAATAACTTAATCATTATTTATAAGAAATTATTCAATAAGTAAATATTGTAAATTTTATATCGAAAGGAAAAAACAACTACTGAGTTGCTTTTTTTCAACATGCCAATGTAGTATACAATGTCCCTTTTCGGCGGACTATTGTAAATTCATTAAATTTAACGAATGTCCTTTACTGGACAGTTGTAAATTAAAGAGTTTATAAAAAAAAACAAATCTTCTGAAATTCATATTACTTTAATATACTTATAATCTATTTGAGAAAATCCATTTTACCAGCTCTCAATTTCCTGGAACTATTCCGATTGTGAGAAGTTTAAATAGGCGCTCTCCTCGCCATAATGTCGAATGAATGACTACAACACTGTAGGAATAGAAGACTCTCCTGGGTTTAATCGACCGTTTTCGTTCCCTAATTATTAATTATTGTACTCGCAGTTTCTGCAGGTTATTATTTCATTATCTCATTGTCAGTCTACCGTTAAAGATGCTAGAACATAGTGAGATTTTCAAAATCGAGCTTCTTAGAAGAAAACTGATCGATAACGTAGTTGTATATATACAAAAACATACAAACTTATATATATATATATATATATATATATATATATCGTTTTCCCAATTAAGCATCTCCTACATTCAATTATTTTATAATTGGCTTCATTTCTGCTTTCTTATTGCTGTATCTATTTCAATTGCATTTACTAAATTTTAATCCTATTACAGTAGAAGCACCTAGTTTTAAGGAGAATTATAAAGGATAATCTAGGCGATATTGCTACTACTTCATCTCAAAATAGAATTAATTAGGAAAATGTTTATTCGTACACTCCCATACATACTGACTATATACATACTTATCTTTGTTTGATTGCGACTTTGATTATGTATATTTTTAAATATTTAATTTTACATTAATACCAGCATTGATAATTATCAATTATAATTATATCAGCAATTTTAGTAGTATAAAATGTTATGTTTACAGTATCTTGTAGTGATTTTTCGAGTAATTCTTACCTTAATCCAATCATCAATTAAAAAATTATCAAAAAATTACACATTCGATTTTTCATTTCTGTTATTTATGTTATTTATATTTTTGAAATCTCGCATCTTTACTTATATTTGATTAATTTTATCTACTTAATTATTGTGTTGAACTGAGGTGAGTTTGTAATAAATTTTCATTAGAGTTATAAAAGTTTCTTTCGAGATGCTTTCGATGGACAAACTTTATAAAGACAAGTGAAAGCAGAATTTATATATATATATATGGCGGAATGAACACCATATGAAGTTGAAGGACGTCAATTGATGACAATGGCGGAATGAACACCATATGACAGATGTCAGTTGAATAACGTCAATTGATGACAAAACTAAATTATATTGGGCTACGTTGATTCGGATCTGGCATCAAGCAAGCTATAACGATCTGATTGTTTTTATACGATCGAATATTATTGTCGCGTTTTTTTTAAAACGATCGAAAATATTGTATCGAGTTTTTTTGCCAACGAGCGTTTTCTCGTGAACGAAATTTAGATTTGATTTAATGTAATATCAACATCTTTATCAATTGAGACATTAATAAACAGTCATTATCGAGTTGAAATAAAATTATTGCGATTTCATTCAAGAATTAATTAATTAATAATATATGGCCCACTAGCGCCATAATTGGTGACTCCGAACGTGTAAGTGAAATCATTAAGCAAGAGACATTCTCAACGTCTTAGTACCCATAATTGGTGACGTCAGACGGAGAAAGAAAAACACTTGTCAAATACAAGTAAATTAATAAAGGTAAATTATACCAATTTTTATCAACATGTCGACTCGATCTACGTCCGTCAATGACGAAACAGCGCTCAACAGATCTCTGATCGATCTGGATCACGAGGCGATCTTTAACACGAGCAGTCCTCGTGTTTCTGAACATGAACATGACAGTTATGCTGATCAATACAATTAGCAGCATTTAACAATCACCGTCTCACTCCATTCAATGGAGATTCTCCAGACCTATGGTTTTTAGTTATTGAACATGAGTTTCAGTCTGCTAGGATCAGGATGACAATACTAAGTACACAGCAGTACTCAAAGCCCTAGACTTCGAGACACTGCGCCTCATCCAGGATGTCCTCCGTAATCCACCAATGACAGGCAAATACGAATATATCAAAAACACTATATTAAGCAGAATGTCTGAATCTAGAGGTAAGCAAATTGACAAGCTATTAAAAACTTAACTCTAGGAGAGAGGAAACCATCACAGCTCCTACGAGAAATGATGAATTTGGCTAAGGGAGAGGTCAGTGAGACATCATAATTAAATTGTGGTCAGAACGCCTGCCACACCATATTCGGCCACAATTAATAGTTTTCTCGCCATCTTGGTCCGGAAGCCCTGGCGGAAGTTGCCGATATTTTAGTCGATCACTGTAGCCCCACATCACATGTGATGTCCACAACACCAAGTCTTCAGTAGAACAGAGACTGGACCGCCACGAAACTCTCTTATGTCATGCGTCCAGGAAATCAAGGAACTAAAGGCAATGTTGAACACTGAAAGACAGAGAAATGATCAGCAAGAATCACAACTCAACCAGTCAAGATCAAGAAGTGAACAACTCAATCAGTCAAGTTCTAGAATTGGTTCTCGACATAGGTCCAGGACACCTTCACGTGGATCGGTTTGCTACTATCATTACAGATATGGGGAGAAGGCCACAAAGTGTGAAGAGCCCTGCCTGCTTAAATCTCTAAACCAGTCAAAAACTTACTTCACCGTCATTAAGTGGAGCTTGCCATGACGGTGAAGTAAATTCTGTCTGCTCTGAGCTCCGTCTTCATATATCAGACAGAAAGACGGCAATCCAATTTCTTATAGATTCAGGATCAGTTATATCCATTTTACCAGCTCAGAAGTTTGCCGATGGTCATCCTAAGGAGTTAGTTCTATTTGCAGCAAACTCTAGCAGAATATCCACGTATGGAAAGAGAACTCTGGAGCTGGATTTATCTTTACGCAGAAGCTTTAGCTGGCAGTTTGTTGTTGCCGATGTAGCCACAGCCATAATAGGAGCTGATTTCCTAGGCACTACAATTTATTAATAGACTTGAAGGGTAGAAGATTGATTGATTCGACTACAGGCCTTACCTCTGATGGAAGGTACTCAAGGCACACACAAGTAACATCTCCACTGTCAACCCGGCAGAGCCCTTCAAGGATTTACTGGCACAATACATCGCAATAACAAAGCCCAGGTAACCACCAATAATAAATCATCTCTTTTTGCCCACAGGATAACCACAACAGGTCCACCATTAGCTTCCAGATTCAGGAAGATCTTCGGAGAAAAGGCTGTTGCAGCCAGGTCCGAGATACAAGATCTCCTGAATAGGGGCATTTGAGGCCTTCCAACAGTCCATGGGCAAGCCCTATTCACATGTTCCCAAAAAGAATGGCACATTCAGAATGTGTGGAGACTACAGGAGGCTGAACGCAAACACGCTGCCCGACAGGTATCCTCCACCATTAATACAAGATGTATTCAATAATCTTCATCAAAAAGAGTATTTTCTACAATAGATTTAGAAAAAGCTTACCACCAAGTACCCATGCATGAAAGGATATACAAAAGACTGCAATTATCACACCATGGGGACTCTTCGAGTATCTACGTATGCCATTTGGACTCAAAAACGCTGCCCAGACATTCCAGAGGTTTATCAATTACATATTCCAAGATTTTAATTTTGTTTTCATTTATATAGACGACATCCTGGTAATGTCGACTGATATGAATGAGCACCGTCGTCATCTTCAATTGGTTTTTGAGAGGCTACAGAATATTCTCTTACAATAAACTTAGAGAAATGTGCCTTTGGAAAAGATGAAGTTAACTTCCTCGGTTACAAACTGAGTGCTGCAGGATATTCTCCTTCACCAGACCGAGTAGAGAAATTATTAATTTCCAAAACCTTCGACAGTTATAGAACTCAGAAGATTTTTGGGAATGGTAAACTATTATCGTAAATCAATACCCAAGGCAGCAAATATACAAGCACCACTTTATGAGTATGTGAAGTCCTCAGTTAAAAACGACAAGACTCAAATTGAATGGAATGACAATTCTTATCAGCATTCAGCAAGCTGAAGGAAGCTCTAGCAAATGCAACTCTTCTTCATTTTCCTTCAAGTATAGCAAATATTAATTTAATTACAGATGCATCCACAACAGCCATTGGAGCAACTCTGGAGCAGGAGAAAATGGTGCATGGCACCCTATAGGTTTCTTTTCCAGAAAGCTCACAGCTACTGAACAGCGATATTCAACTTACGATCGCGACTATAGCCATCTTTGCGGCTTTAAAGTATTTTGAATATCTATTAGAAGGAAGGCACTTTATAATCAAGACACCACAAGCCAATCACACACCATTTCAACAAAACTGGAGAAAGCATCAGATCGTCAGCGACGGCAGCTAGAATACATATCACAGTTTTCCACTGATATTATATATGTGAAGGGTGATCAGAACGTTGTTGCTGATGCGTTGTCCAGGATCAATGCCATTCAAATGCCATCAAAGCTACCGAAGAGGAAATTTCGCAAGAACAGAGTAAGGACGTTGAAATGCAAACTATATTGAATGGCAACACCTCTATTAATCTTCAAATTGACATTAGGGGGGTATCCAGTTTATTGCAACAGGCAAGATAATGGTGTGAAGCCCTACCTTCCACAAAGTCTTCGCAGAATTGCTTTTGACATTGTACATGGAAATGCACACCCAAGCATAAGGATTACTTCAAGGGAGTTGCGAAGAAGGTATGTGTGGCCTGGGTTGGTAAAGACGTCACCATGTGGGCACGTCAATGCATTCCTTGCCAAAAATCCAAAATTCATAAACATAATCACCTCACTCCTATCCATATTCCTATTCCTGAAAACAGATTTTCGCATATTCACATTGACATAATCAAATTGCCTAATATTAATGGATATCCTTATTGCCTAACAATCATCGACAGATTTACAAGGTGGCCAGAAGCTGTTCCTCTAAAGGACATTTCTGCAGACACGATTGTCCAAGCCCTATTTTCAAACTGGATATCAAGATTTGGTACACCATGTGTGATAACATCCGACCAAGGATGCCAGTTTGAATCAGCTATATTCAAATCACTAATGGATGCAATAGGTGCTAAGAAAATACGGACAACGGCATATCACCCTCAGTCCAATGGTCTGGTTGAACGCTGGCATAGAACTCTGAAAGCAGCTTTAATGTGCTCTCCTGAGCCTTGGATCGAAGTATTACCTGTAGTCTTACTAGGTTTACGTTCTTCATACAAGAAGACCTTAAAGCATCTCCTGCTGAGATGGTTTATGGAACCACATTAAGACTACCAGGCGAATTTTTCACAACTAAAGAACTGTCATCCGATCCACAAGCATTTCTGGACTACCACAGAAGAATAATGCGGATATTAAACCTACAGCCACAGCTCATCATAATAAAGCCAATATGTTTGTGCTTAAGGACATAAATACATGCACTCATGTATTGTAAGATCTGATCATATCAGAAAACCTTGAGCCTCCATATAGTGGACCATATGAAATTATAGAAAGAATTTCAGACAAGTGTTCAAAATTTCTATGGATGGTACTGATAAGAACATATCGGTTGACAGACTAAACCCAGCATACACAGTTAAAATAGATAACAGTCATCCAAGCTCATCTCAAGAATTTAAATCACATAACTTGGAGTTATCGATTGACCCTCCAAAAATGAAGCCTAAAAAAGTCTCCTTCAAATTTTAATAATCAAATTCATTTATTTCTACCGGATACCTCTTTTTCTTTTGAAGGGGAGTTATATGGCGGAATGAACACCATATGAAGTTGAAGGACGTCAATTGATGACAATGGCGGAATGAACACCATATGACAGATGTCAGTTGAATCAACGTCATTGATGACAAAACTAAATTATATTGGGCTACGTTGATTCGGATCTGGCATCAAGCAAGCTATAACGATCTGATTGTTTTTATACGATCGAATATTATTGTCGCGTTTTTTTTAAACGATCGAAAATATTGTATCGAGTTTTTTTGCGAACGAGCGTTTCTCGTGAACGAAATTTAGATTTGATTTAATGTAATATCAACATCTTATCAATTGAGACATTAATAAACAGTCATTATCGAGTTGAAATAATTATTGCGATTTCATTCAAGAATTAATTAATTAATAATAATGGCCCACAGCGCCATATATATATATATATA